TCGTTAGAAAAATAACACCAAGATCTTTCTGACGAGTACTGTGCAGTATAAGCTGGTCATTTAGGAAGAAGTCGGGAGGAGAACATGCTGAAGTGGTGTTAAATCGTATAGAAGATGATTTGGAACTGTTAAAAGAGATATTTGTAAGGCTCCATTGGAACAGCCTGTTTATATCCTCCTGGAGTTGAGCGGAGAGGTTAGACGATGAGTAACACTTCATATCATCAGCAAATAATAGAAGTTTGGCTGTATGTACATAGGAAGGTAAGTCATTAATAAAAATTAGGAAGAGTAGTGGACCGAGCAAACTACCTTGTGGGACTCCCGAAAGCACTGGTAGGAATGATGACAAATGACCATTTATAGATACAGTCTGTAGTCTCGAGTTAAACGAGAAGGTGCGGCGGTATAAAAGGCGGTGCCCTGGGCATGGTGGCTTTCGTTTTTTTTTCACGTGGAAAAATGTCTGCTCTAGATGATGTTGCTTCTTCAAGGAAAAACGCAGGCAGAGAGGGGTTTTGGTACCAAATTGAGTTACATTGTACTCTTAAAGAAGACAAGGACCAATTCAAGTTAGGCTTGATTGAGTTAAGGGGTCTTTAGGCACTAAAATAAGGCGCTGGAAATGCTGTCTCACTAGGCTTGCTGATTTAGTCGGGAAAGAGGATCATTTAGAGCCTGGGCTCTATCACATGATACTAGTTATGCTCAATATTTCAGGTAGTTATAATGTGTTTGAAATTAGTGTTAATATATAAAATAGGGTATGGGTGATGGGGACGAAGAGTCGAAGAGCAGCCATTTTGTGCATAGATAGAGGATCGGCTATTGGGACGCACATGTTGGTGATATTGTTGTATGGTTGACTGAAGGGTGATCAATTGCAATCAGGTATTATTTATTATTATTATTATTATTTATTATAATAATTATCAAAATTATATTTATTTATATTATTAGATTTATTACTATTATTATTATAGTATAAGTCACGTGATTGTGCTGAATTTCAATTCAATGATAGTTGAGTCCTGTAATCGTAACTCAAGTTTATTATGTAGTAGATACAGAAGTAAGTATAATGTGTAATGTAAAGTAATCATACATTAATTGGCCGTAATATTTTTTAGGCTCGTACTAGCATATACTTTTGCTGGTATATTACCATCACAGTACTGCCATATTTTGATCGGCATTACTTGGTACAGTTGGGAAGATGTACACAATTACAGGAGGCTTCTCACCATCCCCATATCCATTCAACTCTGTTATTGTATATGCTTAATAATTTAGAATAATATAATTTTGTATTTACTACTTCCAGTGGATCGTTGAATGTTGCAACTGCTACCAGTACTAGGATCTGATTGAGGACCAAGTGGGGGTCTTTTGCTGTAACCACTTCTACTTGATGAGGGTGGCTGATAATTGGTAGTCGGCAAGGCCTTCTGGTCCCAGTGAAGGCAGTTCCTGGGCTGGTTTTTTTATGTAGTAATGAGGTCTATTCCTTTGCCACTATCACTTATAACCTGCCTGACAGCATTATTGACCATGTTTGTTAGGCTGTTGACAGATTTTCAGAATATACAATATAAATATTTGATAATAATGTAAAAAATTATTACTTCAAGTCAATTATACCATTTCTCTTTTTGCCATGCTTTCTACCTGTGCTTGTAGGTTAACTCTCTCACCTTTACTAATTTTAATGTTTTTATAATGCGTTTTGCTAGTGATTTAGCCATGATAAGAACAGTGCCAGTGCGGGAGCCATTTTGTTATTTTCAAATGTGGACGCCATATTGTGCCCAGGGCACCTCCTTTTATACGGTGACAGGCGGAAGCGATTCTATGACGTTGCGTGGATAGTTTTATAGTGCACCTTCTTCTTTAAGTCTAACAAAATGTCTCCTTTTATACAAAAATGATCAATTAATTAATAATAATGAATAATAATAAAATAATAACAGAAAAGACATCATAAAACCACACATTGATCAAGTCTGTAATTTCAACTTGAGTTAATAGTTCGTTATATTCATGCATCAGCATTTATTTAAATTTTACAGTGATCGGCAATGAAAATGAGAACGGTTAAGAGGCTAGATAAAACAAGCACTGAAGGCCTGACCAAGGAAGCATGGCCATGAAGCCAGAATATAAAAAAGAGGAGAAAAAAAAGAAAAAGAAACAAAAAACAAATAAGAGAAAGTAAAATGCAATCAAAATTAAAACGGTAGTAATGATGATGATAATAATGATTATCAACTGAATCTACTGCCAAATAAAGCAACATGAATAGAAATTAATAACAATGCTGGAACTGATCCCAAAGGTAGTACTTGATATGGAATTTAGCAGGTGCAGCAGACAAATTTGAATCCATGCAAGGGAGACAATTCTATGATAATAAAGAGTAGATCAGAGCGCAACAACTTAAGTAATAATTATGATTCAAGTAGTGATGTTATGTGAAGTGGCACAATAATCATGAGAACATTATACTCAATCTGTGTCATAAGCAGAAAAGTAGAGCCTGTGATCTTGAAGCTTGGAGCCGGTGATCTTAAAGCTTGGAGCCGGTGATCTTAAAGCTTGGAGCCAGTGATCCCATGGATCTCAAGCTAATTTCTAATAATAATTATGATCATACCAACACTAATAATTGTGGTCAGTGGTTTTACCTGAAATAGAGAGAAGCAAGAAAACTTTGACAGACGGGGTGCTTTGGAAGGCTGCAGTAAAAGTTTTAATAATCTTTATAGCAATAATATTAATGAGAATCAGCTAGTGAATAATGTCAAGCCTCGATGGATAAATTAATTATTTATTAGCAGAATAAAATTATTAGTAGACTAAATAAATTATTAAATAAATATACAAGTCTAAACAGAAGTTTACAAAAAATACAGCTCAGTGGTATCACTCAGTAGCATATTGTCAGAGGAGAGCTTGAGGAATTAGTATTGACAGTATAGATTATATCAATTAACTGAACAGTTATAATACTTTTTGATTGTGTAGTTCACTTATGCAGTGATAAATATAACTACCAAAGTTTTTGTACTATTGTTATTTTTAATTTTTAATAATTTATATGAATTAAAGGTGTAAATTCTTGAATATAATCATTACAAGTCTGGGCCATATTTTAGTGGCATTGATCTTAATTGCATGCGTACATTTCATACAATGCATGTTGTAATATCAAATATCAAGTATATATAGACCTAAATTTAAAAAAAATTTTATGCATAAAATGATCAACCACAATAATTCAGTGTAGCTACCAACATCAGCAGTCATTGAAAACTTAAGCAGTTGCAATTCAGTATCATTACATATCTAATTTGTAACTGTTATTCCACTAAATTCAGAACAAGATTTACTTCCCATGCACACTAGGCTGTAAAGTGACACAAATAAGTATGAGATATTTAAATTTACTCCACCATTTGTAGAGTCACTGCACGACATCAATTAACTCAGTACAGTACTGAGCTATCATGCTCAGGCTGTATACAGTTGTTTCATGAATAAATTCTTTAAATTTGCAATATCTGAAGGTTTGGGCTTATATCTAAGCGAGAACTGAGCAGGATTTCAGTAAGAGTAAATCTTGACCTTAGCATTAGCTATAATTCTTAGCAGTGAGCAAAGTGGTCCGTAAAATAGAGATGTCGCGGACCATTCGGGTCCGTAAAGCAGACTTGTCGCCGACCATGGTCCGTTGGTCCGGTCCGTTTTTTAGGGATGACCAGTAGTTGAACCCCCGGTTCGTATACTCCCTGCTCGCTTGGACACTGTGTTTGGACTCGCATGGACGCTGTGTTTGGACACCCTTGCTCTTAATGTTTGGACCCCCTTCATGCCGT